ACCCCAAACAATTGATGTAAAGGCATTCACCCATCACCTCCCACAAGCAAAACAATTCCCAGTCAGTCTCTAGAAATTGCTTCCTCTCCCTCTGCCCCTATTTCGTTGCTGAGTACGAGGTGGTGTGGTATGGTATGGAATATCCCTTCTTTGGCCAGCTGAGGTTAGCTGTCCCGGCCGTGTCCCCTCCCGGCTTCTTGACCACCCCCAGACTCCTCTCTGGGGCAGAGGTGGAGTGAGAAACAGCGATGCTGTGCAAAGTCTGATCAGCAATAGCTCAAATGTTGGTGTGCCACATCAACACTGCTTTAGTCACAAATCCGAAACACAGCACCATATGGGCTGCTACGAAGAAAATGAACTCCATCCCAGCCAGACCCAGTACAGCATCATGATACAACATGTACAAGGACTGATGAACTCAGACACAAAATGTGTGTGAGTACTGGATTGATTTTTTTTTTGTGCCAGTGGGACTAGACGAGAGGATATGAATGTAAATGTTTGCAGGACTAGGAGTTCTATTTGCATTTACTCAGGCCTGGCAGCAGTATTAACGTACGTCTAGCATGAATGAGACTTATGCTTTAATTGTGGCCCCTGAGCACATCTTCACAAAAACCCAATTACTCACAATACCACAACTGTAGAGTCACAATTAAAAATCTTCTAGCTGCTACTGAAAACATATCAATAGAAGAGTTTCAGGAGTAAAAATACCATTGCTTGGAAAGACTGCCAGTGAACATGAGATATTAATCTCCCCTGACACATTCCCTTAGACAAGCTGCAGCAAGCATCACTCTCTCTCTTCATTGTCAAAGCCACCTTTTCTGTGCTTTTGTCCATCGAGTACTGGCAACAATATTGAACAGAATCATGGCAGGGTGTTTACAGACCCCAGCCTCTTCCAGCCTCACATCTCCTGTCCACCCATCCCAAGTCATATTACCCAGAAAGAGCATCGCGTGCTGCGGTGACAGGTCTGGGAGGGGAGCGGGATGGAGCTGGTGGGGCCGGTTATACACGATGCCGGGGTGGGAGGCAGGACCGTAGCACCAGAGGCAATGCATCACCCAGGAGGGCCCTTGGGGGCTCCGATGGGGGACGCAGGCCTGAAGCACCACCGATCTCCGGCTCTGCCCGGCCGGGCAGGGCCAGGGAGACGCGAGAGCCTTGCCCTGAGCGTGGGTGAGGAGCTGGCGAGACGGACTGGGGGAGCTGGGGGTGGCAGGGCTTGGCTTTCAGGCTTCGAGCAGGAGATCAGGCGAGTCTGGGGAAGTAACGGGTGCAGGAACTGCTTTTTCAGCCTTCCACAGGCTGCTTGGAAATACCCAGCAGAGGTGAGGAAGGCATGCTGGTGTTTATTGCAGTTTGTGAAGGGCTGAGAAGGATTTGGAAAGGTTCCTTCATTAAAGCGGGCTAGGATGCTGGAGGTGAGTGCTGGCGGCTGTGCCGGGGCGTGCGGAGCAAGCTACCTTGTGCCAGCGGCGTACGGAAAGCTCCCACAGGCAGAGGATGTGAATGGCTGAGGCAATGCCAATGCACCCATCAGCTTATAATTTCACCATATAGACAAGGTCGAGGCTATGAAAAACAAACAAACAAATGAGCTCCAATAGAAACAGCGTTATTTTTCACATGATCTGTTGGGTTTTACTGGTACTCTGCCCCAAAAATGTCAGTGGTCATCAGCTTTCCTTAACAAGCATCAAACAACAGAACTAAGCTGTACATTTTTCTTCTATTCCTAATTTCATTTTTCTTTTAATAAAGCCAAGTGTCTGGCATTAGATATAGGCTGCATGAGACTTTTGTAGTCCAAGGCTTCCAGTTGATAAAATAAGTGTAAAACCAACAATAAATGTAAAATGATAGGACGAATCATTCTGTTACAGCGATCTGCCTACATACCTCACTGTTTCGGAAGGCAAATGCACAATGGCTTGGCGAAGTTACTCTGGGAGGCAGGGCAACCGAATTACCTTTGAATCAGAAAACTCATGAGGCTGTAAAACCTCAAGTAAACTTTCAGATCACTTACTTTCCTTTAGACATCCTTGATTTGGGGAGGGAGACAGAAAACCACCCCAAGGGAAAGGAGACTCAGTGGCTGACCCTGCTGCGAGTGTTCTGGAGTGAGTAATGCCCAGGGGCTTGAGGTTTGCTGCTACCACTACAGCCTCTCCAGGCCGCCCCGAAGGAAGCTGCCTGGAATAGCTGCTGCTGGAAGTGTCAATTTATCTTCATTGCCACACCTCACAGAAGAAAAAACTATTTGTGTCTTTGCTGCACATTATGGAAGGGCCAGTGTTGACTGAGACGGGGCATTCACAGTGAGCAGTTAGACCTGGGGAACAACCCGCATGCAGTGAAACGAGAAGCGAACATTTCAGAGCTATTAAATGTGAGACCCAACCAGCTGGAGGGGAAATCCAAAATGAAGAATGTCTTGATGCTGCACAGTGCCTTCAGATCAAGTCTTTGTAGCACAGAGACCCTTTTGAGCCACACTGTGTACAGCTCAGTAGGAAAATTTTTTTATGCTTTATTTTTTTAATCTTACTATAGGTAGTCCTTAAGCTTTGAGTTAGTACTCTGTGAAGCTACCCTGCCGGTGACAGACTCACTTTGGTGATAAAGAAGCCCAGGAAGCTGTCGGGAGCATTGCTGTTAAAGGGTACAGATCACCGGCACGCCATCACCTCTCTCACCATCCCCATTGCTGCTCTTTCGGAATAGCTTAGCAAAAGCCATCCACCTCAAGTCCCGGACAGATGGTGAGTTGGGTGATGGCTAACCATTTAAAGTATCTCTTGATTCATTTATGCACCTCTTATATACTGGGGATTGAAGGAAACATCCCTTCCTCTGTCCCTCCCAAACCAGGGCTGATGTCTCCGTAAGTTCTGCAGCTGTACTGGGGCTGTAATTGTGCAACTTTCTTCTGAAAAGGGAAGTTGGTTTGGGAGCACTTAAAACGGCTGTCACTGCTGTTTTCTTTCTGTTGCCTCCTCCAAAACGCCACCCTCCACGTAACTTTCGTAAGCTCCATGCTGCTTATTGAATACCTGCCCCACCACTTTCACCTCTTCTCGCTGTTCCTTTCTGATTCTTTACATTTTCTCTGTTCCTAACTCCTGAAGTCCTCATCTGTTTTTTCTTCTTGCCAAGATACTGTTTTACCTAAGCCTGGGTTTCTCTGTCATTTGTACTGATTGATAGCTGTAGAATGAGAGTGAGGACAGAAAGCCGCTTGCTGTGCTTTCTTTAGCTGGCTCCAGTTTTAGAGCACTGTAGCTGACAGAATGCCTTTTGGGACAACATCACACGGACTCTGTAACAGGATTTGACTATGTCTATGTCAGAAGAAGAACAACAAAAAAAATACGATCAGTAAAGCAGTAAGAAACACTGCAGAACTCTGTCCTCCTCGTCTCCTTCCCCCAAGACCTACCTGTGCAAAGTAGGTCTGCAGGAGTGCAGCGGCTGAAATCGTGGCTGGCAGACACGGGCGGTCTCTGTCCTTGGGAGAGATGGCCACGATCCTTGCTGCATTTCAATAAGTCGCATTTGGGATCGCATTGCCTGCATTGCCTTCTGTCCTAGGCTTCCTTCAGCACACCTTCCTGTCTTACACTTCTTGAAAGCATCAAGAAATACAGGACACACATGCATATTTCAATAAATGGATCACGGAACCCAACTTTGTAGTGTCCCACAATTATACAAAGAAGCTTGGCTGGCATACCTGGTCTGTCAAGCTGGTTGTGAGGAATACAAAGTTAGATGTTTGGATTTTGCTTCCTAACGCTAGGGTTTCCGAACAAATCCGAGCATAGTCCGCAACAGGCTGAAGTGCTGCAGGGTTTATCCAGGGACCATCGTCCTCCTCAGGGCTGGGGTTGTTTTTCCTAAGTTCTTCAGTACCTCTGTGCAATTTATAGCAATGGCTGGTACCTGCCAGCTACATTTTAAAGCAATTTAGAAAGAGATGCTTTCCAGCTGCAGAGGAAGCCTATCCTTGTGTCTTCAGATCTGAGTTCTGCAGATCGGCAACTGAACAGCCAGTTGACAAGCTGTGAGTCATTCTGTCCAAGCTGGATCTCTTAGATTTAGAGGCTCTCAAAACATTTTGACTGATGCATTTATATAGATATGCCCCCATTCCAGATGGCTAGCACATTAAAAGGATTTTTTTAAGAGCCGAAATACCGTGCGGTCTGCCGCTTCCTTGCATTGGGCTGCCCATCTCGCTTTGGAAGGCGTCCGCGTTGAGCTGTTGCTCTGTCTGCAAAGTCTCCTTGACACTTTGAGGTGGGAGAGAGATTTGCAGCTGCGGCGCACGGTGCAGCAAACCGTGGCTGGCTCATTCCCCTTTCCTGCTGCTTCCTCGCTGCCCTTCCTGCACCCGTGGACACGAGACAAGTCCCAGCCCGCTCACGGAGAGGGCCTGGGAGAAAGGGGAACCATCGCGATGCTGTGGAAGTGCAGTACCGCCGCTCTCAGGACAGGCAAGCGCTTGAATGGTGTAAACCTGTCCACTGGCAGTACTGGTAACAGCCCTGGTAACAGAGCAGTTTTACTCACTTTTTAAGCCCCCAGCCATTCCAGCATTGGTATCTTTAACACGAGGAATTGCTTCCCCCAGGAACAAGTGGTCCCTCACCCCGTCCGTAGCAGCCGGCACGGAGCGCGGGGCAGGGCATGCCCAGGGCTGCGGGCGAACGCGGTGCCAAGGCTGAGCACCGCTAAGCCCAACCTCACCTCTTCGTCATAGGCAGGGCGACGCTTGGGGTCTGCCTTTGCGTGTGTGCTTCTTTAAACATACATTTCCCCTCTTTCTATTTACTGGCACGGCACAGCTTGCTGTTGGCTGGATCAACACTGGATCACACAACAAACACGCTCTGGAGGTAGCTCAGTATTTACAAGAATTAATCTGAAAAGAGGCTTAGTTGAAGGCACTCAGATGCCAAGAGATATTAAATTAAAGGAGATTTTATCACGTATGTAATTATTTATTGAGCTGAGAATCCATACAAGGTAAACAAATGTTTACACTATCATACAGTAAGCATTTCCAGGGCTTAATAAAAATGATTGTCACTCACTGTGCTTCACAAAAAAATTCATTTTAATGAATAAATAATTTGATGAAATCAAAAAATATTTACAATATAAACAAATGAAAAAGCTTTGGATATATTAATCTGAGCTTCCTGTATTTTGCATTTTCTAACCGTATTTCTATCAAGATTCTCTCTCTGAAATGGTACAAAGGGGACAGAAATTACAACTCAACAAAGTTAACGTGATTTGGTACATGTCCTTCCATTAGTTCAGATAAGCTACATATGATTCATTTATTATGCATGTGTTAGAATACAAATATAACTAAAAATCATGTATTGTCAAAATGCCAGACAGCATTCTCCACAGAACAGAAATGTACACTAGGCTGTGACAATAACTGGGAATCACAGGCAACGAAATAGAACAGAAAAGTACAAATTCCTTCATAAGAATATAATTGTGCTCTCTCTTATTTACCAGAGGACCATGCTGCTTCACCACATCAATGGCTCCGTATGAGTACAGTGTTCAGCAACTGCCGTGTGGTTTGGGGTACGCTCGTATGGGTGTCAAGCAGCGGCATCATAGTGGAAAACGGGCAGTGCAAGCAGTTTTATAAACATCTGCTCGGGCTCTTAAAAAGAGCCAGTTAGACAAAGCAGTACAAGCGTGACACTGAGAAGTCTTCATCTCATTTACACAGGCATCATGAAGCGGCTTGCTTTGTTTGTGGGGGTGAAAGGAGGAACTTTGCGCTGTTTATGCAGTCAGCCAGAATTCAAGTACTCCAAAGCCACTTCATAGCAGAATTTGTACTGATCCTGAAAAATCAAAAGAAAACCGCAAAGTCAGTTATTGAAGGAACTTAATTAAGGGGATCGATATTTCTCTTCTGTTAAAATTAGTTACGAGCAGCTGCTGTCAATGGGAACCAGTTTGCAAATCCAATTTATACTCGGATAAGAAAATCTTTATATTAACGAGACAATAGACACTACACAGAGTAACTTATGGTACTGCTCGTATTAGATGCGTATTTAGCTGTTCTAATACACTTGTATGAGAAAAACTGATGACAGGTAAGCAAACTGACTTGCAACCCTTCTGTCATCTGTCAAAATGCTCATGTAGCACTTTACCAGAATTGGAGTTATTGAAATTCCTCCCTGGAAATGTTTGTCTTAAAACAGACCCAGTGTCTAGTACTTCCCAGACCGTAACTTTTATTTTAATGTCATTCACGCACTTGCTGCATTTCAGGGCAAGAGCTGCTTACCGTTCCTCCTCTACGCGCAGCCCAAACCCCGGCCGAAATACCGCTCTCTCCCAGTGCAACAGGCCGCTGAGACCAGGCCTGAGCTAAATTAATTGGATCTATTCCAATTAATTTTTAGCAATTAACAGTGATGCGCAAGTTAGGCTCTTAACAGCTCTTCTGTTACCCCGGCTAAGTTTTCGGGTGCCAACCCTGCGCTTCAAACACAGAGCTGCCGGTTTGGCTGGCCAGCGCTTGGAAACCGGGCCGATGCCAGGGAGGGAGAGGCCCTGCCGGTGGGAGGGAGACCCCTGCGGGTGGGGGGGAGACGCGGCCGGCGGAGCCGGAGGGTCCTGGCTGGGCCCCCTCGACGTCCGCAGCCGTACGGAGAGGCAGTGCTTTGGGCTGACCCTCGCCCTCTCTGCAACCTTAAATGACGCGGTCACTGACGGTGTCGCGGTTCTGTGTGCGCACACGTACCCCTCTTCTGTCTTCGTTCTTGCTACTTGCGGTATTTGGCAATACTACAAACATTTACATGAAACAAAAAGGCTGCCAGAAATACTAGGTGTGGGTTCCCTGAACCCAAGGGCTCTGGCTTCTAAAAATTCAGTTTGGAAACACCTGCCAGTTTTATGATTATTTCTGCCACTGAGATGCCTCTTTCTCTTACGCACTTTAATCAATTAATAAAAGACAACCAGGTGTGTACTATTATGTAGGAACACCACCAGACTTCACCAGCTGGCAGCACTCAGCCTTCACCTTCCCAACAGCACAAGTAGGAAGACTACAACTACACCGGAGATATTTTCTCCTTTTCATTGACACAAACATTTTAAGGGATTAACTCTTTTGGCCTGTACTTGGGATTTTGGGTCACATTTCAGCTGAGAAGAGAGTCCACCTCAACATGTAAGAGACAAAATAATATTACAACAATCAAAAAGCCATTAACAAGCACGGACAATTTCTAAGTTCTTTTGTTGAGAGCGGTCACTTCAAAAGAAAACAAATCTTAGGTGCACATATTGCCTAAGTTATGAAGGAGCTGTATGTGAGGTTTTAAGGTCCTGCAGGGTTCCATAAACTGCTTGTGTCTTCTTCAGAACGAGAAAAGAATAAAAAAGAAGGAGTATTATGTAAATTATTCCTTTTCTGCTTTTATTGCATGTTTCTAAATAAATGAAAATTATTCTGTAACTACATAACAGATCAAAACCAGAGATCAGCCACTCATCCATTTCCATTTTTCCATGCTCATTTTTATGCTGATTTACTGATACAGCAGAATAACTGTCATTTTTAGTAAACTGAATACCTGTCTTAAAGAGCAGACATATATTATTTCCAACTGAGTTCACTCATGTGTGTCCTTTGTACATTTTTATTATTCACTTGATGGTGGATATTAAAAGTCTCTTTACATTAGCTAGCTTCAGAGACGTATATATATATTATTTTTTCTAGGACACCTATTGGTAGGTCCAATAGCATTTATCACAAAATGCCTTGGGCATTCTGTAATAGACATTTTGCAATACCATGTGTTCCCTTTGTACGATGACTGAAGAATGTCATAGATTTCCGTACTGTATGGATGTGGCATTCAGATTTTACACCTGCAGGAAAACTTAAGGTTTCAATGAAACTAAGAAATGAATCTCTAAGTATGGACTGTAAAGACTGCCCTTCATCTAGTCAGAAAGTGCATAACAGGGATTGATAAAGCAGTCTTGAAACTACTTTTGTGAAATACTGTTATAACTCTGAGCACTTCATCTTTTACCACAGAATTTTACAACAGTAGATGAATATTACTGTTCTCATTTTTCAGGTATGGAAACTGAGGCAAAGACATATTAATATAAGAAAGGTCATAAAGGATAAAGTCTGTGACAGGATCAGGGAAAGACCTCAAGTGTCCTGATTCCCTTTTACCATGAAACAATCTACATGGAAATTGAAACCTTGCTAATTCAAATATTTGTTCCTACAAAGTAGCAGACCGAGACTGAAGAGATGTGGTTCTAACTCTGCTTTGTCAGTGAATTATGTGATAATAGGAAAAATCCTGATGGTCCCCTGCCTTCGTTCCTCTGTCTGTAGAATAAGGACAACAATACTAATTTACTCCACAAGTGCTTTGAAATCTCCTAATGAAAGAGCCTTACAAGGCCTCTCAGTGCCGTCCAGACATTCTCAATACCATCCTCAATTTACTAAAAGCTATATTTATATTCTAAAATAATACATTTAGCTTTTGATTAAAAAAATTCTCTACTGAAAAATGGAGACAGCTGCCTGACAAATCTATACCTGGAGAACTGTCACAAACGGGAATTTATAGAGAGCATTTTCTTCTATGGTACATCTTCATACTGGTAATTTTCTTTTTATTTCTATAAAATAAATGAATAAGAGATCAGTGAGTTCTGTGGGCTTAAGCTCTGGCAGAACAGAGAACGGCAGGCCTGCCAAGTCTCTATCCAAGCTATATTATCTGAATGAAGAAGTAGGACATTCTTCTTGATATCTAGAGAATAAAAACGTGTGGTTCTCAGCATGACAATTCTCCTCCTGAGAATATAAACTGGAGGAAGAGGAGCCCACTGAGCTGCTCCCTCCCACCACTGCGAAAGCAGTCAGATCGTTTCTCACTGATACGAGAGTCACAGTTCCAGACTGCTGGCTCATGCCCCTCTGCTGCTTGTAAACCTCCTCCTTGCGTTGCACAGCTGGCAACATCTGGCTTTTTTCCACGAGCCCGGCCAGAGCAGGGCTGAGGGCAGGCTCCGGGACTCTCAGGCAGGCTAGGCGAGAGCACCGCGATGGAGGACGTGGTGGGAGCCGTTCTTCTGCGGGACAGATGAGGTGCAGCCATACCTGTGGTGGGGCAGTGGGTAACCCTGCCCATCTACACATCAGCCCGAAAGCCTCACTCTTCCCAACAGAAATTCCTGCTTTCTGCCCTTTCTCCAGCGGGTTTCACACCTGGGACTCAGCTGAGTCGGGGATCTCTCCTAAAATTACAAGAGGTTGGAGCAGCTCTGTAAGATGCCTCCTGCTGGGCTCACGCTGGGCACGCTGTAGAAAAGATGTTGAAATACGACCGCAACTCGTTTAACCGGAGCTTGCGGAATGAGCCCAGATTGGTTTAGTGGCCCTCAAGCTGCCCAGATGCTGCTTCGTCCTGCCCGTGGCGCTCAACGGAGTAGAGCTGCCTCTGGAGCAGCCACCTCTACAGCGGGATGTTGTCAACCAGTGTCTTTTATAGCCCAGGCTTCAGAACGGGCTGTCACGCTGCACCCATCTCCGAGTACAGAACTACACGCTGGAGCGTAAGAACCTGCTGGTTTAAGCTGTTCTGCAGCTCTTCTGGCATAGCAGCTGGCACTTCAGCAATTCCCCATTTGAGAAAAAAAAGCTCATAAAACACTCTCTAGGAAAATAATTGCACATGGCCCCTTGTTTCTGAACTTCTTTAATCTTTCTATGAGATACAGCAACCATAATTAAATGCAATATTCTGGATGTCAAACTGAAATTCATGGCTTTGATAAATATTAGGCGATTAAGCTATTTATAAAATATATAATTTGAAAATCTGGCATTTCATTTTACATAACTATTATTTCTACCATGCAAGGGCTGCTCTCCACTTGGCTCAGCCTGCTAGAAAAGAAAATTAATAAGGATGTTCAGCTGAAAGTTTAAAACTCTTAAAAAATTCAAATGAACAGAGACAAAGTCTCCTTGGGAAGAAGGCAGTGTAAAAATACTCTTACAAGTGAAGTGACTTCATTATCCCCTTTGAAAATGACTTGCTTGCTTTGTGAACAACTCCCACTGCAAATCCTGTAAATCTTACTGAGTCTTCTGAGGAAAAGGAACATTTTCTATTTAGTGGTGCAGTTAAACAGCTCGTACCAGAAGGTCCACCATGTTAGGCTTATTATTCCTCAGTGTCTTCACAGCATGGAATACATCAACAGCCCTCTGATGTCGAAGCATTTCACAAACAATACTGATTGCACAAAATGTCCCACTGCGGCCACCTCCGTTCCTACAATAAAAGTGATAAAATGGCTCAGTTACAATTGAGTCTATGTTACAAGTCCGTACAGCACCAGGGATGGCAACAGAAGGCATGAGTTCCAGTAGGGAGAAACCAGGAACATTCCTGCCCCCGAAGGCTGCCGAACCCTAGGCAGAACACGATTTTTAATTGGAATTAGTGGGCTGAAAGACCTCAAAGCTACGATTCAGAATTCAGCAGGCTGAAAGCCCAGAGGGAACTGAATGGCTGAGTTTTGCACCACCTGTCAGTGAATGCTTGAGACAGCACAGAGAGGATGCTAAAATAAGGACAAGGTACTTTTAGATTCGGTTCAACACCCCTTGGCACTGTCAACGCACAAGGTTGCAATGAGCATCAGGCCTGGAAGCGTTACAGAGAAAGTGGATCTTTTCAATTCTTTTAGTCCAGATCCCGGCGCTTTCCTCCTCCAAAGGCGTCTTGGGGGAACAGGGAAAGCGCCCGAAGCCTTGTGTGTAGGAGCAGGCAGAGAGGCCGGTGGCCTGGCAACGGCTGCTTGTAAAAGTGTGTGGATTCCCCCTCCACCCACCGTGTCAGAGGATGAGAACCAGAAGTGACTTGCTAACAAAGAAGCCAGGCACAAATGTTCATGTGCATGATCAAATACAGTATTTAATAATACTTTATCCCCCGTTATTTTTAATCTTTAAGAGAATCTCTTTCTTTCTGGAAGCCCTATTATTTCTACAGCTATTCTAATCAGAATCTTTAGGCTGCGCTTCACTGAAAATAATAAACCTTAATAATTACCAGAGTGCAGACTAGTTAGGTAGCAGGTCTTTCAAACCAGCTTCGCAAATGGTTGATTTTCAAAGGAAGATACAAACGTCGCACATCTGTCACATCCAGGCAGTATGAAAAGAATGCTCTCTGCTGCCAAAACATTGCCTGATATTGTGGGACTCTTTGAGAATTTTAATTAAAATAAAGTAATTTAAAAGGATTGCATTAGAGCTTTTTCTTTCTTTACTGCCTGGAAGTGACGCATGTGTGATGTTGTACAACTATTTAATATCATCAGCCACCTCAGAGATAACAGTAATTTGCACTTCAAAAGGGTCTTTTCAGCTAAAGATCTCAAAACATTAATTAATCACACTGCACAATGCTCCTTTGATGAAAGTATTATTATCCCCATTCTACAGATGGGGAAACTGAAGAGCAATGACTTGTTCAAGGTCAGTGATAGTGGGAATTACTAATACACTCTTAGATTTTCCTCCATCGCTCTAACATCAGGTCCCAACTTTTGAAAGTGCATTAGTGTGCGCTTTTCCTGTTAGTGCCTTCCTTCTCCATCATGGCAGCATCTTTGAACAGATGTTTAGAGGAAGAGGGATACAACTTCCAGCACTGAGGACTCCATCTCAAAAGATCACCTACTGCTGAGGGCGAACAGCAGGTACAAGTATTAAGCCATATCCAAAGAAGGATGGTGGCAGAGTGGGTGAGAGCCTGCACGGTGGAGCACAAAGGTCAGAGGAGGACAAAAATACATACCATTATTAGAGAAAGGTAAGGCAATTACAGGATCATCATAACTGGTCTATCATACCACTTTTACTTCTGTGCTTTATGTCTGGAAGAGGAATCACTCCTCCAATGCTACTTATTTCTACAGATCTTATCTGTAGAAATAAAAGGTATGTGGTTCTGAAGGTACGATTTTGATTTACTCTGAATAAATATGCACGTTTTCCATTTGCAAAAGTCACTGGACATCTTTATATAAAATAGAGTTAACTTGTACCCATCATCTTTTCACAGGGGTCTACCAAGGGACAGAGGGGAAAACTCATGAATCAACATAAAAAATCATATAATTCCTCTTGTATTCAAAGCTTCTAAATGAGCAGCTGTATTATTTCTCCAGTTTCAGATTAGATGGATGCCTCTTCACCTCTTCACAAATCTTTCAAAACCGGGCACAGATTCTGTACCAGCATTCCCTGGCTTTCTCTCTTCTGTTTCCAGTACTCACAAGCAATGTACAACCGTGCGTCCCTCTCCCCCGTTATATTCTTCCTGCCACTTCTCCACCTGGCGGATGAGCTTCAAGAAGGAGCGTTTGGAAACCGGAGTGTCTCTGTACATGGGCCATCCCAGGAACTGGAACTGCTGCACCATCCGATAGCCGTCTTGGGGCTGCAGAGATTCAGATAACGAGCAGGAAAAATAACAGCATTTTTTTTGGTACATAATTTAGATACTTTCATCAGTGAGGAAAGTTGTTCAAGCAGATCACCGCTGACAAACTACTAATGTAATTTCAACTGCCCTTGAGTTGTTAGAACTTTTAATTTCCAACAGAGTTATTAGAACAACAGGTTTTAAATGGAGTGCTACACAAATAGACTAGAATAGAGCAACGGTACAGCTGCAGGATCAAGCAAATAATTAATTAATATCATAGCAGCAACTTGGTAGCAAAGAGGGAGCTGCAACACAACTTCAATTAGATACCTTTTTTTTTATACGCTTCAGCATTTTGAAGAATGTTTGCGTGCTTCTGTCTTTTTTTACGAGAAAGGTCAAAACCTCTCAAGATATTTTGAAGCAGGAAACATTTAAAAAAACAAACGAAATCCTCAGATGTTTCCGTCTTATAAAAAAAATCTAACTACATTTTATTTTATTGTGTGCTACTGCAGCAGTCAGAACCCCTCTGGTGAAACATTACCGAACAGTTGCTTTATGGTGACTTAAAATAAAAAAGGAGCATAGAACAAGTGTTGGTGGCAGAAAATTACAGTCCTTTGAAAAGGGCATAATAAACACACACGTGAAAACTGTGTTCGTAGTCTAGGATTTGCCACTTCCACTTCTGTGCAAAGTGAGGGCATTTTAGTACCACTTTTAAAATGAGCAACGCACAGAAGTGTCGACATTACCATTTTTCCTCTAGAGTAAGAGGCAATAGAGAGGAGGTAAGATTAACAAGATAAGGGAATAAACCAAAGTGGATGCAGCATTAGGTATGTTCTTCAATGGGTTTTGTCTGCTCTAGGTCAAAATTTGGAATCTACTGATTTCTTGGCCAATTTCTGTTGACTGACGGCCCCTCTTCCCAAAGCGCATCAGCCAGACCCAGAGCCTGCTAAAGCTCACATTAACGTGTCTGGAGATTGTGGTTTTCTGTTGCCACGTTTACTGCAAATGCAAGGCCTTCATAGTGTTAAGGAAGTATCTTGAAGCTTACAGTCTCCTTCCCTGTTTGGATATTAGCATGTTTTTGGGTGTGGTTTTGGGAACTTTCACTCTCCTGAGAGCTACCGGATCCCAGGGCTTTCCTCAGCAGGGAGTGCTGCTTACTCCCAGCTAGGTTCTGCCGTGATCCATACTCCCATCCCTTGGTGGGATGGAAAGAGGTGCCTGGTCTGGGGTGGAAGCTTTTTTCCACTCAGCTTGAAAGACAAGCCTTGTTTAGTCTTCCGTCAAATTTACTGGAGAGTAAAAGCTGGATATGGGAATGTACTTACACATATTATGAAGTGTGATTACTGGGACAGGATCTTCACTAAAGCCTGGGACTGGTATTGAAAAACACGCCTAGTATCGGTGCACAGCTTTCTTCGCATGACACGGGATGCAAATATGCTAGATGGCTAATTTCAAACTGCTGAAAACAGCACTGATTTTGGCATTTCTTGGCTACCATACAATATGAATACTGCATTTATTTCATTTGCATTTAACACACTTGAGATATGCATTAAAATATTTTTTACTTTAATTACACGTAGAAGGCTTTTTCCTCATTGATTATGGTGTGACTCAGTATTGCACCATTGCTTTCAAATAAATAAGCTGAAAAATCAGAATAGTTTAACTTTCATTTTTTGTGATTTGAGTTGAGTCAACTCATCTACTGAGACAGAATTGTTTTGCAAATAACATCCTTACTCTGGCTGCATTATAAATTCGGAATATCCGGCTGATTATGTCTTCTTCTAAATCAGCTGATACAAATTCCACCTGAATAGGACCGTGTCGGTGTACTCCATTTTCTGGCCAGTATTGAGGACACAGCTACAGAAGACCACAAACATAAAAGAACACAGTTAATCACTTTGAATTTCCTGCTGCCTCAATATACTTGTCTAGACTTTTCTTTGTGCTACATTTATTACTGAAATTGTCACACAGTACCTTTGTCTACTACACAGTGCACCGTCTTCCACCCGATGCTTGTACTTGTGCGGAACAAGTTTAAACAAATGCCTTTTCACTTAACTGAACCTGCTATTGCTTGCTGCTGTACTTGCCGTTCTCTGGTATTTGCAGTAACACATTTCTGATGCTCAACATCAATTCTGCAATACATTATGACAAGACGGGTGGATGCTGTCAAATATTACCGTATCTTGGAGACAGCATGAAGCCTAAAGACCAAAGGCCTGGCATCTCCAACTGTCCTGCAAAGTCAGTAATAATTCAAGCTACATCCGAATGTGTGCTTTGTACTATGAAGGGTACATCAGTTCTCCAAACTCAGGACTTTCACATTTCCCCCGTGACCGATGATATCAGCTAATATCAGCACTGCTTTATATTTTCAGCGAATGCTCAATTTCAGCTTACGAATGCTACCTGAAAACGGTAATTATGCTTTCTTTAGTGCTCAGAAAACATTACTTCTAGGTATCTAAAGATCACAAAGTAATATTTCCATTATCTTGCACAATTTTAGTGTCTAATAATATCATGATGGCTTAATCCAGGAACCAATTATCATCTGTGTTAATACTTTAAAGATTAAATCAACACTTTGCAAGGAGGTTTTTGAAGCTAGACTCTGCTTGTCCATTTTTTTCCATAAAAATCTTAATGATTTTTTTTCCCAGGGATATTTAGAGCAGTTCAAACATACAGCTATTGCAAGTGTTCACCAAAATTAAGTATGAACTCATGAAATTTTGTTCGCTTGCAGAAGCATTGATGTAATATTTGGAATTTTATTTCATTCAGTAAAACAGCTGTGGTCTTCATTCTGCTGCATTGCTGTTGGTGATCCAGAGCTGAGCTGACAAATCACATTTACTCCAGATGTTGTTTTGCATTTCTTATAACACTTAGTCCTCAACAAAGCCGTTTAGAGATGACTGCATTTTAGGAAAACATAATCATTTACTACATCAATTAAAAAGAGAACAGGGTCTGATTTGCAGGAGTTCACTTTAACAAGTTAAAACCAGAAATTTCGAGTAGGAAAATATATTTTCATTTATTTTAAACTCTCCACATCATTCAGTCTGCTGAGCAAATTACTTTCCAAATATTGTCTAAATCTTACACAAATTGTTGTTATGAAATGTGCCAGTGTACAGGAAGGCAAAATACAGTGCATACGACTAATGCAAATGCCCGTGCTCAGATCATTTAACATGTGCACACTTTAGCACACGTCTTTCAAATACATAGGAATAGTGTTCTAACAAGGCTTTGAAAAATGCTTAACTGATAATAAGCAGAGCTGTTTGCTGGAGCTGTTTTAGGAAGCCAAGGTTTTCACGTTCTAAAGAAACCAAAAGCATTTAGGGCTGTGCATTTTGCATCCACGTGATGCTGGCAACTCTCTGTAAGTCAGAGTCACTGTGAAGGGTTGAATTTCATTTCCCAATAGAGCATAACCATCCACCTAAACTGTAATATCTAAACAGAACTGTAAACACTCCATATATACATAAATAATAATGATAACAGTAATTATTTCTAAATCTGAATGTAATGCGTGTTTATAATAAGCTCTGCCCTCTCTCCACTTCTGTTTGCTCTGAGGGTTTTGAGATTTATTCCTAATGAAAAGATTGTTACTCACATTAGAAGGAAAAGGTTGAACATGTTGCAGAGGCAGGTGCATTAACTGCATATCCCAATAGCTTTCAAAAGACTCCGAGGCTAAGAAATTCTTGAAATAGCCATGCACTATTGTAAATTCAAAACACAGCCTACAAATTAAAAATACTCTGTTCAGCAGTCCCTAACAGTCTGACTCCCTTGAGTCTTTCCTTATTCACTCAGAAAATAATCTTAGACTCATGAATAAAAGTTTTGTCTTTCATTTCTATTTTTCTCCCTGTAGACAGTTAAGGGCTTAGAATCAGAAATTCAGTCTTTAAAATAGCGTGTGGAATTCCTACACAGTCCTTTGAAACACAAAACGGAAGAATTAGAATGTTTTAAAAACAAATTCTTCATGTTAAAAAGAAGTAAGAGGAAACATTTTTCTAAGTGTGTGCAATACTCAACAAAGTTGAGAAGATTCTTGATCATATGAAGAATAAAAATGACATGCAGTCTGCTATAAAAAATAACAACTGCTTTTAAGCAATAATTAGCAAATATTCACACGTTAAGAATCCAGATTACCACCACGTTATTCGGCTGGTGCAGTTTGTGGGACCAAGGAAACTGTATCTGTGTAAGAACCTGGAACTGCGCAGTTGCGAGCCAGGCTCTCGGACGCCCCGTGATTAATGCTAGTGATTAAAGTGCCAAACCAGTAGGTACGGTTTTCCAATTTTCTGAAGAACACGTACAGCATGCACAACTCTTTTGTAAGGTAATTACATTCCCCCATACATTTTGTTGCCCTGTTTTCTCTTCCGAAGGATGCTTAGTCTCCAATCTTGTTTAGTTCCTATCTCCTTGCTAACAATGTCGTTTTGTGCCAAACATAACACAGATGTTCACACTGGGAACACCTGTCCTCTGGGAAGCAGACCCAGGTCATTGACCAACATGTTGTTGGCTTTTGTCTGTGACTTTTGGTTATTATTAGCATGTTTCAAACTTGAGTCAGAATTCTACAACCATCATTTTTGGTTTTTAGCGGCTCTTCCCAAAGCATGTTCTCTTATCAGAATAAATTACAGGCGCATGCACGTATGTGTGTATGCATTAACATTTTGGTGGAGAAGTTGCTGATGGTCGGATTTATTCATCTTTCC